ATTTGCACTCCCATCATTTATACTAATGTAAATAAATTTGCACTGCAACCAAACACAGCCTCAAATGGGGAAATGTTATTCCACCAGGAATGGGAAAGGGATTCCAATTCTGTCCAACTGTTCACCAAACAGTTGGACATTCCTATTCTAATTCTAAACCCCTATTCTCACAAATTAAACAGACCCTAAAATACTAAAACACATGGTTTTTAAAAACAACCCGGAGACCGAACCGATCAGGGGGTTTGGTTACCGGGTCAGGGGTTTGAATGGTTCGAACAGTTAACCGCCTAAGTCAGTGGTTTGCTGACCAAAATCAATGATTTTGGGCAAATTTCCGATTGAGGAAAATCGAAACTGATCACCTGACTGGTTCCCGGTTTGTTCGGTCTGACCATCCGGTCCGGTTTTGAAAACCATGCTAAAACATGATTCAATGTGGCCGTCGGTACTTGATACTTCCTGTCCCAATCACAATCACATGGTGTTCAAATGCTTGTACCCACCGTTAGTAGAGTAGTACTGTTACTACTGTACAATCGAGATATTAAAAGTTAAAGATATCCATGAACTCATTTCATGTTTTCACTCAATTGTAACTCGGCCTATTCCAATACCTCTAGTGCCAAAAAGCTGGATCTCTTGTTGGAATCCATGATAATTGATGGATGGCTGGCTACTGCCTACTGGCTAGTAAAGGAAGGTATCTCCTTTTTCTCTTCCATAGCTTTTCTTTTGGATTCTCTTCCGAAAAGGTCTCTTTCACAAATCACTATAGCCTGTATTCATTTGGGTCATTGTGGCAGAAATTCCACCCAAAATTTAATTCTCAATGTCGCTGCATCACCATCTTCAACCATCCATTTGGATCATGTATCTTAAATATTAATCCATTTCGAGATAAGAAAGATGGGGGATGGGACCCACCCAGATGAGTCTGAACTCTGAACCTAGGATCATTTTCTTCAACCGTGTAGCTGTCCTTCAAAAGTCAGATTCCTTTCTTCGCAATACTGTGAAACTGAAACATAAACAAAAGAAATCCAGGGAATCCGACTGTTATCGCCCAACTAGCACTCAGCCACGTAGTCGAGGCGTGTTTGTTGGCCAGGCCACCACCCCACATAACCAGTCTCCATTCTGAGGTCATAGGTTTAGTCCCATCGTCGTCCCCACCACACTAGAGGGTTTAAAGTTTAAACTAGAAAGAATCTCTCTCTCAGAAAACGTCCAAACTCGGTGGAAGTCAAGAAGAACAAAGATGATGGGTTCATTTAGGCCCAAAACCTGTAGAACGACAAACCAGAACTCTGAGACGTTCTATCCTATCCATCCAAGTTCCGGACACTCAAATCTCTTCTCTTATAGCTAGGTCAAAGTTAAGCTCATCTGTCTGCGTCACAAAACTACCACGGCGGACAAAAATACGTCCAGAGAAGATGTAACACTAAAGATCCGTCAACATCAGCCAGAGGGAGACGAGGGAAGAACGATTCTCTACTGACTTGACCGACGATGCTGAATTGCTGATGCCTTTGCAAATTCGGCATTTAATTCATTTAATTCTCTCCCAAGTAGAGATTAGAGAATCGTTCTTGTTCCAAAACCAATTCCAACTAGTGTTCTCGGCATTTAATTCTCGTCTTCTAGACAAATTCTCTACAGACTTGACCAATTATGCTTTTTGCAAATAAAACTTGAGGTGACTGGAGTGAAGTTTGAAGACTCCAATAAAGTGTATGAATAAATTGTAATGTCAACTACTATTTAGTGTATGGTTGATGGATCTTAGAAGAAAGGACAAAAGACTAAATATCAATGGATCTCCTTTCCTGCCAAAATGAGACGTCTTCAAATGCTGGAGTCCATAATTTCTTGGGTGACATCCATCATCAATCATAAAGACCAAACTTACAGCTGAGACAACTAACAAAATGGATCGAGGACGGAATGTAAAGTTGTTCAAACCAACCCTCCAAGCTTCAAGAATATAATACATTAATCAACTTACAATTAACACCTTTGATAAGCACTCTTAATATCAAAATGTAACTGGAGTTGTAAAGGATTCTGTGGCAGTAGGATAATAATAGAAGCAGCTTCTGGAAAAGGATATGAGAAAATGTGACAAGAGAAGCACCAATCGAGTGCTGGCTCGTTGATGTGTTAACTGGTTTATTCCAGTGTTACTCGGAATCAAATCCTGCAACCGGCACTTTTGGGGAAAAGGGACAAGAGAAGCACTACAAAAGCAAAAACAAAAATGCTAGACTTTTGTGTTTCTTTTCTCGTCGAGTCGTAGAGTACAAGATTTTTTTTTCTATTCACCAGGTAAGGGCTTCCAATTACAATGAAAAGAAAAAAAAAATAAAAATAAAATACTCCGCTTAAACCATGGTATCAAAAATTTTATTCAGTCTTGTCCATTAACCCATCTTAAAAACTGCTGCTATCGTATTACTACTTAATTACAAAATCTTCCCAACTGCCTAATTCTTGACATGGTTGCTTGGTGCTTCTTTCTGCTTTTCTGAACTTGACATTGATAATGCTGGTTTAATGCTTAAACCTTTATATCAAAGTTCTTTAAAAAAAATAATGACATTCAGCCCCAAATCTAGGGGCCATTGCTTGGTGCAATAGTAACACATTGGGCTAACAAGCATGAGAATGCAAAAGGGTGTCAATGTACTGGTTTTGGGTTGGACTCTGTCCAAATCAAAATCAATTTGGACAGATTGGATGAACTAATAAGACATTGCATTTGGACAGATTGGATGGACCAATAAGACATATTGGATTGGACTTGGTCCGTCCATAATAAATTTATATTGGATTGAGCCAATATCTGGTCCATTGATAAAAGATAAGAACAAAGGTGTCAACGGACCAGGTTTGATTCGGAACCAATCTAAATTAACATAAATTTGAATAGATTAGATGGTTCAGACATTGAACTGGACCGGTCCAAAATGGTCCAAAACACTGGACTGGATTGGACCAGGTCCATTTGTATTGGACTGGATCGGATTGGACCAAATCCAGTCCAATTGACACCCCTAAATGCAAGTTGAAGTTTGAGATCAAGAGCACAGCCACTTAGTGCTAAAAAATGCTGAAGTTAGATCCTCATTCAGTTTACCACCTCGGGTAGTGACCTTTTTGTTCAGTTAAAATCTAATAGAGCATAGTACTCGTATTAAAATCATCAGACCACCTGCTGATGATTCCCATATGTTCTTAAGTGCAAAACCCATAAAATATAAATGAACACTTAAATATTAATGTAGACCAAATACTGCTTTCATTAGCAGAATTTGATGTAGTTTGTTACATCTGGCTACTGCTTTTATTAGCAGAAATTAATGTAGACCAAATACTTCATCTATATCAGCTTCCATGCTCACATTATAAGGAAATCAAAACTTCAACATGTTCCAAGAGTCTTATAGTTATAAGTACTAATGTCTTAAGCTCTTCTACCTGTTGCATGGTCTAAAGGTCTCATCAAAATCTGTACAAGAATTCAACCAAAAATAACAAGAAAATAACATTTTCATTTGTCACTTTGTTCATTGCATTAGTTAGAACTTCTAAAAGCTCAACTTTTGTTGTTTTTTTGAAACTTCCTGAATGCTTCCGTCTAGCATGCAAACTTACTCCAACTTGGATTCCTGTAGCATGCAAACTTCCAAATTGGTCCGACTTGGAATGATCAATTTTCAAAAAACTCGTTGATGTGGGAACAAGAGCCTACAGAAGAAGAATTTGGACTTTCTTTTATGAGATGGCATAATTCAAGTGGCCTGAGATTTGAGAAACTGTTGGCCGGGCACCTCACCTAAACACCTTGACTTGTAGCAACAAGGTGCCCACCTAGGCAACAAAAAATGACAAGATGGGCACCTAGTTGTAATATCATTCATATGCTACATCTTTACTAATATGTGTGTTAATGCATTCTATTGTGTGTCTGCATATATATATATAATAAGACAGTAGCTCCATCCTTGCTCTTTTTCTCTTCCTATTTTAAGTTTTTATCATATAAAGTTATACCTTCTTTAGTTGCTAATTGATATGAAATTGCTCTACTAAATATTCATTATATTAGTATTATTTTTTAAAATATTGAAATTAATATATTTAAAATTAGGAAACTAGCCAAAAGTTAGTTCTTTGTTTTATAAAATTCTCATCGCCTAGGCAATAAGTGCCCCACTGTTGCCTAGAATTGCCTAGAATCCCTGACAACTATTCTTGCTCTTTAAGAAACCAGGAAACCTCAGGCATTTTAGTGCTCTTAGGGGTATGATTAGAGCCTACTCTGGGCAGAGATATTATCCCTGTCACTGGGACCAAGAATCAATTATTCCCTAGGAATATAGATGGAGTAGAGGGTAGAGGTTGAAGGAGACTTCTCCTAGTGGTTATAGGGTGGATGAGAAAATTATCTAATGATACCTGGGCACTTCAGGGAGGCACAACACTGGCTATCAGGACGAACTTCTTGTTCAGCTGGATTCCTATGAGCCAACTCATTAGCAAATTGCTCCTTTAGGGTGTGGTTGTAACTTGTACAACTCTTTGTATCGGGGGATGGACTTAACAGTGTAGCATGTCCAGAAAATGTTCCAAGTCGGCCTTTCTGCTGCTTTTCTGTTTTGGGTTTTGGTTTGTTCCCTTGGCACTAGACTAAGAAGTGCTCATGTAGAAATTTACCTTTCAAATAAATGCTTTGATTTTGCTACTGATAAAAATAGGGATCCTTTCACTTGCCAAAAAAATGCTCTGTAAGTTGATTGCCAGTAATATTTGTTCCCATATCACAAATATACCCAGAATTCTCAACCATACGCTACAAGTGCAATAAAATTCCTCTTCATGCAATTGCTAAAAAACTCCCGGTACAAAGCATCCTGGAGGAGATAGGTGCATTGTCACAATGCTGTGATTGGATTTAAGCATCTCTGATAGTTCGAATCATTACTGCTTCTTTGAAGGGAAATTGTATATCACATTACGATGTGTAAGAAAATTAAAAAGCTACATGATATCCATATCAGTTATAAATCCCTAGTTAAAGAATCAGACAAAGGTTTATATTGTCTCTGACCTCTTGGATCCCACATGACTCCTATGCATTAGCTGACTTGCTTTCTTGTGATTCAAGAATAAATTTCCACTTTGAGGTCCATCTGTAATTATATGGGATATTGGACGTATGGAGAAGCTGGATCATTTAAGACTCCATTTTCCATTTTTTAAGAAAATCAACAACTTCAGACAATGACATCTTGTGAAATCTGGATATAGCATTCCAAATGTGAAACCACATATAAGAATGTCATTGAAAAGGCTAGAGAAACCACTGATTTCTTTTTCAATTTTCTATTGCTCTTTTTCCATAACTGTGAAAAAGGATAGCTTATAGATGACAACAGAGCAACAGTTAGAATCCAAAGTTACATTCAGAAGCAAAATTGCCCATCCCTTGGATTTAACGTAAAAAACCAGGATCAACTCACTGTTCTGTCTTGATGAAATGAGTTGCCAGTAGCTTTGGAACAGTGAAGCCATGGAAAGAGTCAACCTCAAAGAGTTCCTTCAGCTTCTCATCACATATTATTCTCCTCTTATCAGATGGATCCTTCAGAGACAAGTGCAGAAAAGTGAGGACGACAAGAAATGGGAAGATTACTAGAAAACATGGTAGAAAAAACAAGATTATACCTTCTCAGGAATGAAATGAAGAAATTTAAATGGCTAACAAGAAATATGACATGGAGAATACAATGGGTGAGGTTAGCCAATCCTTTTGCTGTACTCTAACTAAGCAAGGAGAATAGGGATCAATGGTATTGGGCTCAATTTTAATTTGCTGTGCTTCCCTTAGGGATGCTTATACTGATTAACTTTCTTGATTAATAAAATTTCATTAACTAATCAAAAAAAAAAATGATACCTTCTATCTACTACCAGTGATACATATAAAGGAGTAACTAAAAATTCATTGAAACCATCTATAGGCTGAAAAAATAATAGGTATTGCATGTACCACTTCAACTGCAGGTGTAGTTTTAGCAGACCAAACTAACAAAACCTCATCAGTTAGTACTACAATGTGACTACAATTAGGTTTGTTCTTTAGATGATACCCCAACAAATGACCAAAAGACTGATGATCCAAGAAAGTCTGTACCACTTTTAGGATCTTACAAATATTACAATACCCTAGTAACTACTGTAAAGTATCAATAATTCCTTACAATAACAGGCCAACCATTAAAAGTCAAAATCTACCATAAAAGGCCAACTATTACGAAGTCTAAGAAACAGGCCCATGACATACCTACAGGCAATATACCAAGAATCCGTCTTTTTTTTTCTTTTCACTTTTCTAGCATTAATTAGACCAAAGACCATAAAATTAGGAAAAGACCTAGAAACAAATTCTTCCTGCCCCATCTTAGATATGGTATTGTGCACTAGTCCATATTGGCCATATCATGTCGTAAGTTCCAACAAACTGATATGGAGGATATACGAGATCCCTCAATTCATACTTCATAACCATGTTTTGTTTATCATAATTAGGAAACGATTTGATGCAGCACCACGCCTTAGATCAAAAGGTGTATGGTAATACAAAACTCTAAAGATTAAGTGGCTGATATTTCTATAGACCCATGATATCTTAAGAAAAAAATCCTTTCAATTATAACTACTCATGATAATATAATTGCATTTCAATAGTTCCTGTAAAAATTTGAACAGCATCATTCCCATATGGTGGTTTCAGCACCATCCACCCAAATAGATTTTACATTAATACAAACATTGCTTTACCTATCAAAAGATTTGACTATTTCATAGCATACCATCATCATCATCTAAGCCTTGTCCCAACTATATGGGGTCAGCTACATGAATCCTGCTTTGCTATTTATTATTTAATAGCACATATATGAGAAAATTTATGATATGCATGCAAAAAATTTACAGCTTACGTTTTTATTTTTTTTCAACTTTTTAACAAAATCACATTTATCAATATATTATTTAATTTGCAAAAGAAAAAAGATATTATAACCTCACATTGTTCAATAAACACTTTCTAGTTCTTTCATAACCAAAGGTAGGAAAAATAGATGCATTTATAGTTTTATACTATTATACCCCATCCATGGTTATTTAAGCATTAAAGTTATTCCCAGTGTATATGTGTGTGTGCGAGTATGATTTGCTTACTTTTCTTTGGTACTTCTATGCATATCTATTCCTTTTTCAGCATACCCAAGTGTTTCAACACATTCTTAATTCACATCTTAAAATTGACTTACTGAGATGCTCCTCATTACCGATATATCAATCACTAGTAAGATGGCAGAGCATCAAGCATGTCACTCTTAGAGGCCAGTGCAAAATTTGAGACAACTGAAGGGAATAGGTAGAAAACCAAGTGAAGGAGAAGCAAATAAATGACTTCCAGATTGGCCTTAAATTGTTTACATGTTCCAATCTGTAATGCTTAACTTCATTGCACTGCTTCAGAGCTTTCATTCTCAAAACTGACCAATTTTGGCACTATTGAAGGTAACATATTGATTATGACATGTGGTAGAGTATCAATTATGTGTAATGGGATAATCATAATGCAGAGATCATACTACTTATAGAAAATTGGCAGGGTTTCACACTTGTGAAGTATAACTGAAGTTAATGGATTTGACCAAAAGAAGCAATAAAATACCTGCAAGTTGTTTTGTTTTATGTATTCCCACATTCTCTTTACAACACCAGCCCGTGATAGTGAACTCTCACCCGTACCAAGGAACTTAACCAAAGCATCTGAAAGTGGAAGGGGAGCAAGAAAGCCAGAATTGCCTCCCTTCTGTCGTTTCTCTTTCTGTTTTGGCTCATTTGGATCTGACAAGGAGGAAAATATTGAAAGTATATCCCTAGCATATATTTATCACATCAAGAAAACCTTAAACCTTAACTTTTCTCACCTTCTTTCCTCTCTTGTTTTTGTTGTTTTTCCTTTTGTGTTGACTTGACTGGAGCTGCAAGATCATGTGAAAGACAAATGAATTATATCCATAACATCTAAAACAACAATACGTGAGTATCAACAAAAATAAGAGCTAACAAGATAATAATAAAAGTCATACTAAATGAACAAATTTAACACCAGTAGATAAGCAGCACGTTCCAAATAGTAATTGCATCAATACAAGTCAGGAGGATAAAATTTAGCTATGCATAGAACTCACTAACCACCCAGCAAGTCATACCAGAGGCATCATATACGCTATCCAGCCTAAATAGTTATATATTTATTACTGATGAAGCTTCTACAAAAATAGATATCATTTGGTAGAGAAAAGTACTCACCTTTCAAATGTCAGTTCTAAGAAAACCTTCTCAAGGAAAATATAAGTGCTAACAATTAAAGAAACCAGAAAATGTCCATGTCAAATGATGGTCCTGATGAGGGCAGATTTGGCCCTCCAATGACATTGTGACACGTAGCATCTCGGAACAACTGGTGACACCCGGAACCACTTAGGCAACAACTTAGCCAAGATGACGGTGTCCCGAACTGGCGACCTGGCACAGGCGCTGAACTAGCGACCTCGA